CGAGGGAGGATCCACGAGGATACGTGATCCTCCCAGAGCCGATCAGCTGTTAGCCTTACCTCGACCGTTGCCGCACACAGACGCGTCAAAATTATCGTTCAAACCGTGAGTGAGAGAGAGAAAAGAGAAAGCAGAGAGCGAGAGAGAGTGAGAGTGCGGAGCGAGAGCGGACGGAGAGAGAGTGCGGAGCGAGAGCAAACGAGGAGAGAACGTCTCCGACTTTAATTTAACACGAGCTACCGGTCCCGACGGTTCCGGGACGCGCATCTTTTGTGATAAGTATTTATTCTCGCGCTTATCGAGGTGGTGCGGCCTTTCCGTACCTGGCGCCCAACTCTCGCGAAAATCTTTGTGGCGTGTCCGGGAGCCGACGGCAATTTGCAGACGCGGCGAACAGGCGACTGTTTGCCGTCGCTCGCGAGAAGTTCCGCTCGCGAGTACCGTCGCAATACATACGAGTACATATTGGTATACATACATTTAATATTTATATTTAATGTACATTGAACGATAAAATATTTAGAGAAATATTCAAAATAATAAGAACGGAATTAAGTACATGTCCGAGCATTGGTACATTTATAGTAGCTAAATATTGGAGAATGGAAAGAACAGTAATGGATTTGCGAAAAATTGGAGCTGTGTTGTTCGTAATGGTATGGAGTCAGCTTCTGACTATTCAAAGGCGTATAGCTAAGATGAGAAATTATATTGGTCGGAGGTGGTGGATACGTCCCGTGAATAGGCGCAGACATGATCAAGGTTTTAACCTGAACCTACTTCGTGAGCTTACTGTTAATGATCATGAAGAATTTTTCGGATATACTCGAATGTGGCCAGAGCAATTTGAATTCTTACTTAATTTGGTGAGTCCATACTTAATAAAACGTAGTATCCGAAAACCTCTTTCACCTAGACTTCGTTTGACCTTAACATTGACGTAAGTATAAATAAACTCTGCATTTTAAAAATTAAACATATACTTTCTATATGATATTAATTAATATTTTTTTTATGTAGATATCTTGCTCAAGGAGAAAGCATACGGACAAAACATCTGGAATTCAGAATTGGTAAATCTACAGTCTGCAAAATAGTGCCAGAAGTTTGTTGTGCTATATGGCATGCTCTGCAACCTATTGTGCTTCCCAAAATGCTGAGGGCTGGAAAAAAAATAAGCGAAGAATATATGCTAAAGTGGCAATTTCCTAACTTTTGGCGCTCTTGATGGTAGACATATGGAAATCGAGAAGCCTCCATGTTCTGGATCACAATATTACAACTATAAGAAATTCTTTAGTATTGTGTTGTTGGCGCTCTGTGATTCAAATTACAAATTTACATGAGTGGATATTGGACAGTTTAGTGAGTAATAATCATCTTTTCTTTTAATAACTGATAGGAAACAAATTAATAGTAAATGTTGTAATGGAGTACATTTGATGTAATTTACAGGTTCTATCAGTGACGGTGGTGTGTGGAGAAACTCAGAATTGGCTGCAGATCTTGCTTCTGGTGATGCTGAACTTCCACCACCAAAACCTCTGCCAGGAAGAGATATTCCCTTCCCGTATCTCATTGTGGCTGATGAAGCCTTTCCTCTTAGCACATATATTATGCGCCCTTATGCAAAACGCAATGGATTAACAAATGAGCAACATATTTTCAACTACCGGCTCAGTAGGGCTCGCCTCTGCATAGAAAACACATTTGGCATATTAGTGTCACGCAGGCATATTTTGCACAAACGTTTGCGTTTTTCTGTAACAAATGCAGAAAAGATTTTCAAAGCTCTTGTTTGCCTGCACAACTTCATTATGAGCTCTAATAATCATAATTATCAATCTGCCTTTCAATATTGCCCTCCTGATTGGCTCGATGTTGAGAACGAGGATGGGATTATTCATGATGGTCGTTGGAGAATTATTGGCCCTGGTCAATTTTTTCAAACGTTGGGTAGGACTGGAGCTAATCGAGGTGGCTCAGTGTCGGAAGGTATGCGCAATTATCTGAAAGAGTACTTTGTGTCTCCAGTTGGAGAAGTACAAACACCCTGGCAGTATGTGAGAGCTTTCAGAGGTCAAATAATTAACCCTCTGGCGTAGTTATCACAACCCGAGAAAAATGAACATAAGATCATAAATGATTATACAATTATATCCGAAACTTGATACGATTCTATATGCGTATATATTTAATCAAATGTTTTATATAATTACATATGATCTTATGTCTTATATGATATTATATAAATGTAAGTCTCATTTTCTCTCGGAAAGTTTTCATTCCTCTGTGATGATAATACTGTATTTTTTATATTTTTGATAAATGTAATTATTTTGTTTTATATTCCATATGTAAGAAAAGCATACTACGTGTAATATAATGTTAATAATTTTTTACTTAGTTCTTCCTTTGAATGTTGCGCTATTTGGCTGTGAAAATAGCATAATAAATATTTTTAAAACTGATAATTTTGTTCATAGATTTGTCAGTAAAGAAAGATTTAATAAAATAAACGATTATAAAAATATTTATCTTTTTATTTTCCTCCAAATCACAAAAGAACAACAGTTTTGCTTTGGTATATAGTGTAAGATATAACAAAAAATACTTATGTGCTTCTAAGAAAAATAAGTTAATGTCAGACGAAACATTTACATTTAACGTAATGTATTTTCTTATTTTAAAATAAGTAATATGTTTATAGTATTTTATTTTAATACATAGTTTGTTCAAAGTTCAACAAACAACTATTTTCACGTTATTCCTTATAGTAATAATAAAAAATATCTTATACATATATATATAAACAAAAAATATTTCTTTCCATTTTTGAATAAAATTATCATATTAATTATAATTATTCGTAATACAATCACAGTATATATATAT